GATGTCCCTAATTTAAGTTCCCATTTCCTTAAATGGAAAGTTATCTACATCAAAACAGTGCAAAACAGTGCCAAACAGTGTCAAAACAGTGTCAAAACAGTGTCAAAACAGTAAAATTTACCCCCTGGTAAGTTTACTTGCATAAAAGTGTGTGAAAGTCAAATGTGGAACTTCTTTCGGGGACGGAGGGAGTACGTCCCACCACTTGTATGTCTCAAATCAAATTTGATAACATCGTATGCTTCTAAATCTTCTTTTTTGGTTTATTCTCATTTTATCAATTTAATATAAATAACATAAATCCATTTTTCTTGTTAACTCAACTCCTCTTCTAACAATGCTAGGGTGGAGGTAATGACCGGTGGGCGTAGCTCAACTGGTAGCGAGGGAGTGCCACAAGGGTTAGGTCCCGGGTTCGAATTCCGACAACTGCGATGAGGGGTTACTATGCTGAAAAATGCATAGGGTCTCTGCAAGTACCGGGGACAAAGCCTCACTCTCTATCTATCAGATTGTGATTATAGTCCAATTTACAACCTCCCATCGTGCCGTCCAGTCGGTGTTGGGGGGGGCCCTCTGGGATGGGGTGTCATCCTTTGTTTTTGCTAGGGTGGAGGTAACATATCGGAAATGTACACACATATGTTAATTACAACATCTGTATTTTAATTACAACATAATGACCTACTCTATATTGATTACATTTTATTTATTAACTTCACAATTGAAATGCTGTGTGACTGAAACTTAAAATACATTTTTAAGTTTTACTAGTTGCCAACGAAACTGTAAGTGGCGAAATTAAATTTATACGCCGGTAAACTTGAAATTCAAAGAATTGCAGTTTTATTTTTATTTTTTGAAAATCAAAGTACTACAGTTAAATAATAGTAGTAGTATTTACCACTTAAATGCGTACGACAGATGCCTAATAGAGTGAGGATGTTTTCTTTTGGACTGTTTTCAGTCCCAGACCAAATCAGACCAGACTTAAACATACCAGACCAGACCAGACTTGACTTCCATAGTTGTAAAATACACAAAGACCAGACGTTTACCCGACCAGACCAGACCAGTTCAGACCAGACCAGACCAGACTTAAACAGATCAGACCAGACCAGACCAGACCAGACCAGCAAATTTCAGTCCAAAAGAAAACATCCCGAATATACCTTATTTAACAGGCTTATTAGGTACAAGGAATTAAGATATTATAAATTAAACCAGTTTAGGTTTAAATGTTTAATCATATCAAATTTAAACAAAGTAGACTAAACACGAATATATCAGACTAGATTTCACAATTGTAAAATACACATAGAAAATACAACTACAAGATCATATTAGACCAAATCATAAAATATGAGTACAATTTAAAATAACCTAGAACGATATGATTGGCTAAATCCAAACATAATACGCCTTTATAGTGTCTTTACTCATATAACAGGAAGGTCCGATTTTCTGAAAAATTAGGGAATTCAATAGAACTATGCTAGCTAAACAAGCTTGGAGGTTAACGATTGACGCGAAAAGTTTCGTAGGGCGAATTTTTAAGGCACATTACTATCCAAGCAGGTCCTTTTGGATGCTAGAATTTGCGTGGATCCCTTTTTATATGGAGGAGCCTACTAGAGGCACACCAAGTTATTCCACTGACCACTCGCAATATAATTGGTATGGGGGTAGAAGTATAAGTCTGGGCCGATCCTTGGCTTGCGGAAATGGATTCGGAAATGGTACAATCACCTAAACCAACACGTTTCAAAGATATGAATATAGTGATGCTGAGGTCGGAGGTTGGTGAGAGCAGGAATGTGTAACGAGTTAATGACCTTTTTCACTAAAGGAGGCCCAATGGATTTTAAGTATCCCTATTAGCAATTGCACAATAGAGAATACTTTTTTGGGGGAAAAGAGAGTGTGATGGGCAGGGGTATCCAGCCCAACTGCACAGGGGCCATAATTTTGAAAGGACCAAAAAAACTACCAAGTGTTCATCTGCCAGTCTAACCCAGGTCCTAACTCATATGCATGAAGCATCTAAATCCGGAAAGAAATAGAGAAATAAGTTCAACCGCCTTTCTCTTCACAACGTATTTGCCACAAATTTCAGAGAAGGACTTGTTGTGCTTAGTTTTATTTTCTTAAATTTGTTTTGTCAAACTTGTTCCATAACAGGTACCATACTTTCCAACAATACTAGCCTTCTTGGTTCTCCCCGTCATCTTTGGTGAATAGACTGCTGCTCTCTGAGAGACCGAATAGTGTACGGCCGATGGTAATGTGTTTACAGTACAACCAGATATTTTATGTTGAAAGAAATGAGTATTAATATTAAATTACTAGCTTGATAGCACAATTAAGTATTCGAAACATGTAATAGGATATCATGATCTACACGTAATATATATGCTACAAGTCAATTTATTCATTTTACTATATTATCATTGTATTATCATCAAAATAATTATTGTGTTAATGTTAGAATTCAATACCAATACATAATTCTTTTAAATGTTATACTCATTTCTTTTAAGATAAAACGCACAGTTGTACAGTGAACACCATACAACCGGATGTACGGTATAATTTGTCGCTCTCTGAGAGTTGATGAAGAAGCTAAAGCGGATGCAACGAATGGGAAACCCTCACGGTATTTGGCTGATTCTGAAGAACCGGTACCGTATCACATTGTCGAAAAATTGGTCCGATCAAGTGCAATAGCACCCTCTACTTGACATTGGACTTTGTCAATTTTCATTTTTGATTATTTGAAAATCTTTCTCACTTCTAATTTACTCATTTTTATCTCTATGGCATGAACTTCAATCATACAATTTTTGCATTTTTTATTCTCACATCATTTAAAGTTGAAAATACCCAATAAGACATAGACAAATACTCACTCCGTCCCATGTTAATTGTCTCATTTTATCATATTGGGATGTCCCTATTTAATTGTCTCATACTTTATTTGGTAAAGTATGCATGACTCAAAATCATTCTTACTTTATTCTTACTTTATCAATTAATATCAACCACACAAATTCACTTTTCTTAAAATTCATGTTATCCTCATCCGAGACATTTAAAAGGGGACGAAGGGAGTATATACTAGTACCACACATTTTTTTTATTCTGGTGTGGATCGAGAAGATTTTTCTATATGAGACGAGGAAGCCCTTATTCGTGCTCAACATTGCATATCCAAATTTGAACTTTGAACTATATACAAGTCAAATAACCTTGTAGGTTCATTGTTATTTTGTCATCTATTGTTTTATATAGTAAAACTCACTTATAAATCACTGATGTGTCTTTATCTTATTGGTTAACAAGATTTAATTAAAACATTTAATTATAACATTTTTTTATGTAGAAAACGAAGGAGAGAAAAAACAGGAGAAAAACTAGAAAAATTAAAGTATAGGAGAAAAGATGGGAAGAAAAAAGGGAAAATGGAAACTGATAATCCAACCTTTTAATGGTCTTCCTTCAATAATCCCACCTTTTGATTATTCATGAATAATCCAACCTTTGCACCTCATCTTCATTCATTGGTCCCTGGTCAGTTAATGACCTACTATTCCAAGTTATTTTCTTATCTTTGCAAAATATTATCTTTGTGAAAGATGAGATTTATGATATAATGATTTGCAAAGATAAGAAAATAGCTTGGAATAGCAGGTCATCAACCGGTCAGGGACCAGTGAATGAAGATGAGGTGCAAAGGTTGGATTTTTCATGAATAACCAAAAGGTTGTATTATTGTAAGAAGACCGCTAAAAGGTTGAATTATTAGTTTCCATTTTCCCAAGAAAAAATGCAACTAAACAAATTATAGAGTACTTGATCACTTTTCGTTTTTTATTATTAATTTCGTTTTCACAAATGGATATGTTTAATTTTAAAATTAAAGCATATATAACAGAGTGAAGTATATATATACCTGAAACAATGAAGTATACAAACATATTTTATCACTTCATCATCTTTAAATAGTGGGTTGTGATACAATAAATAGGACTCTACAACAACATTCAAACCTTAATCACAAAAGTTATTGAGATCGGCTAACATGAATCAATCCATGATTCAGCGTCAAGAACAGAAGAAAAATAAGAAAAGTAGGAAAATGTAAGATAAAATGGATAAGATTTTGGCCGCAATGGCGGAGAGATTTTGTTTCACAGGAAAAACGCCATTGGGCCGCACCGGGGAAACACTAATTTATTCTTTTTTTATATTTCGTTTTAACGTAAAAATAATATATTCACCCCGCATCGGCGATAACCGCAACACCAGCGACCTCAATTCAAAACCTTGATATGGACTAAAGAGTTAATATATAATATATGATGATGGATAATTTAATAATTTAATAATCATTTAACAAATACGAATTTAAGAATTTTATCAATCCGGGACCTGAAAGATAGATGAATTATCAATTCGGGACCTAAAAGGTGAAATGTATCGGTATATGACCCGAATGATGAAAAACTATCAATATATGACCTAACATTTCATAGATTTTTATTTTTTTATTTTTTTATTAATTCCATTGCCAATATTTGATGAATTTTTCCCCACAAAATTTTATTAGTTTAATATAACTAAATAATATTTAATTTTTTTAATAATAATAATAATAAATTTTATGAAAACTTAGGTCCTCTATTGATACTATTCAATCACCCGGGTCCTAGATTAGTTTTTCATCATTCGGGTCATGTATCGATACATTTCATCTTTCAGATCTCGAATTGATAATTTGTGTATTTTTCAGATCACGAATTGATAAAAATTACAATATCTATTTGTATTTTACATTTTTACTCATATCAAATAGACGTGCTACCGGGGCATGCCCCGGGCTTTACACTAGTTGGGTATGAAGCCCGAGTTGACACTACCGTGGCAAGTGGGCCGTGGACTGTGGCCCCTGGCCCATGGCCAATGGGCATCTTGCATCAGGCCTGACCCAATCTCTGTACGCTGGAGCGGCAGCCTATAGAAAACACGAGAAAAATACAGTCAAAGCTGTGTGCAGATCGCGAACAACAAACTGGTCACTCATGGCTTCTGCAATCTCAGCTCCAATTTCATATCTGCGGTCCTCTTCTAATCATTCTCCATCTTTAACCAGCAGCAGTAGGACGCTCACTCTTTGTACACTTTCCAATTGTTCCATCTCAGTCTCCCGAATTGAGCTATGTAATTGGGAAGGTCTAAAGCCTTTGGGGATTCCCGCCTCTCGAATTTCCATTAAAATCGGTACAATTTCTATGCTGCTTTCCTCTGTTTTGATTTATGTGAATATCATTTCCTGCTTTGCTTCGCTTCTTCATATATGAGTCACAGTGCCAACGTATATTCTATGTATTGTCTGTAATTCTTTGTAATGGAATGGAGGGGTTATGCAGGTAGGAAGAGAAAATGCAAACAGAGAGTTGTGAGTGCGTCTCTGTTTGGAGTTGGAGCGCCTGAGGCACTAGTGATTGGAGTAGTAGCTTTGTTGGTGTTTGGTCCCAAGGGTCTTGCTGAGGTCAGCCTAGGTTGTTGTTTTTAATCAGAATACATTTTATTTACTCTCAATCAGTGTATCATTTAATTACTTTTTGTTAGTTTTACTTAGCATCATAGTTTTATGCATATATAGGTTGCTCGAAATTTGGGGAGAACAATACGGGAATTCCAGCCTACTATCAAAGAACTCCAGGTACTGTATATATGACCTGTGTTGCGCGGAAACATGAAAATCACGATGAAACGGGAAATGAAGTCTTTCTCGAGAGTTTCCAAAGCGTTTCTGAAACCGAAACGTACTTTCTCCTGAGAGCTTTTGCGCTACATAGTAAATGACTTGTTTTGGAGGTTGAAATATTTCGTTCCTTAAACTTGTGCTTAGTTATTATAGATGCTTCTTGCTCTCCCATGTAGGATGTATCGAGGGAGTTTAAGAGCACACTTGAAAAGGAAATTGGCCTTGATGACATAATAGATTCAAACCAGAGCGCTATCAGATCTGATAAATCTACAAGAGTGAGTGGGAACTATGTGGATTTACAAATTAAGACAGAGCCTCCGAGTAAGCTAGTCTTCCATTGGAAATTAATCTCCTTATATGTACTCCGCATGTGTAACTTTTTTTAAATCATGGGTGAGACATCTAGTGTAATCTTATTAATAAATTGTACTCCCTCTGTATTTCTTCGTTTGCAACATTAGGCTTTTACACAAACTTTAAGGGTGAAATAGTAGAGGTAGTGAATAGTCTAATAAAAGCGTAAAAAGTAGGAGAGAAGGATGAACAATATGAAACAGAAGATGAAAAAGTAAGGGTTGTTAGGTATTTTTAAATGAAAAACCTACCAAAAAGGAAAAGCATTGCAAATATTTAAATACGGACCAAAAATGAAGGTTCTGGCCATGCTGAATCAAATATTTAAATACGGCCAAAAAGGAAGTTTTGCGCCATTTGTTTCATGCCCCCAACCATGTTCTCGTTGTGGTTAGTAAAGCGCTGCAGCTAATGATGATAATGGTTTTATGGTAAAACCCAAATAATCAGTATCTAATGTAATCTGTATGGGAAGCCTGTTAACTGAGGTTTTAAAGTTTGTACATGTTCATACAGGCAGTTATTCATTTATACTTTTGTATTGTGTTTTCAATTTCTGCTGCTCTGATTGCAGATGGTTCTCCTCAATCACCAACTGTAGAATCAAGTGATTATATGATGAAAGACAGCGAGGATCAGCAAGCTGAAATGGCACCCTCCGTTGAAAATCAATTAGAGTCCCAAGTGAAAACTGAAGGTTTGATTTTTCAATTTTTTTTCCATTTTCTTGTTTACAGGAATGTTTAGATGGAGGATTTTGTAGGTGTTTCGTGGGGAAGGTTTTGGAGGACTTTAGTTTATATCTTCTTATATATTTTTGATTGAGTAAAAGTGGAAAGATTATTATTATATGTGATCATATAACATTTCAATCAACTTTATTTGTTTTCAGGATTATTCTTATTATCAAGATATAGACTAAGCCGTTGAAGCTTTACCATCCAAAACCTTCGATCCAAATAGGCCCTTACTAGTGTTTGAATGTTACTACTCTACATCTCTCCATATGATGTTAATTTTATTTAGAAAGAATGAAAAACACAAACCACACATTCTTTCCTTTGAAAGAAGTTACGAAGATTCAGAGGGAGATATAGAGTATTTTTGTTAGCTCAACCGTGTCAGAAGTTCCCAGTGATTGTGGCTTATTTTCAAGTTGGGAAAAGCACAACCAAAAACTTCATTTTACATTTTGGAAGTGTGGCTCAACTACATGAGTTGTTTTGTCTCACTAATTTTCATTGATTTTAATGGCATATGGTTCCTAAATGACAGATGATTCTTCATCCTCAACCGAGCAAAGTCAAGTGAATAACATATGAAGATCTCTGAAGAGCAAGCAGCTGGTGTGAACGCTTGTACCAACTGTAGTGATGGACCTGATAGTACTAATGTACCTCGTAACGTACATCCATCCATGCTACACTAGTTTTTTGGTTCCCAGTTGAAGTTAGATTGTTAAATGGTTTTTTTACAGTTCTAATACTGTCTACTTGAGCTAGCTAACATGGTTAACAGGCAAGTAGAATGGAACTGAAGGGTGAGCTGGTTTCAACTTTCAACTAATGTGTGATCGCAGATTTCCCAGGTTTTAGGGATTGAAATGGAATAAATCCAGATACATCATTTTCTGTAATGGGGTAGACATTTCAGGGTTAGTAATAGAAATCCATTTTCCTTTTCATTTTCACAGTTGTCTTTATTTATTTATTATTAAATTATTTGAAGAATTTGTTATCCTTCACATGGTAAAATGGCAATGAAGGGTTTTATTTGGCCTCATGCTCCCAATAGGAATTCGGCCATATAAAACCCTCATTTTTAAATAACATTTTCGCATGCTATCGATATATAAAATTTTGAGATCATCTTCACCAAAGGCATTGGATGGACACGCTTCTGGACTTGGACCAGGTCTAGATTGGTAAATAAATTGAACTAGGCACCTGTGTTTAGGCCCCGGATAGGAACTGAGTTTAGGTCTAAACTCTAAACTTGTTTTGGTTCCGTTTTATTGTAATTTTTGAATTAAAAAGTCAGCAACAATCGAAAACTAACTGATTCGGATTTGATTACCCCCTTTTCCTGTCTATTCCAGCGGCAAGTGAAATGTGAGATTCAAAGTTTAGGTTTTCATTCTCATGCATAAGTCTGAGAGGTAAAACCCAAACAACTTTCCCTTTCAATTACTATTGTAATAAGCATGCCAAGCTAAGAGCCCATTTGGTGGGTCCGTGGGTAGATCAATGTTGGGGGATAAGTCTAAAAATAAATAAAAACCACTAAACACACACCAAATGATTGATGAGCTGTTTTTATTATCAACATTAAATAGCTAAATGGTTGCAATGTTGACCAGTTGGGGCCTTGGGGGAATCACCTAACTTTCTTACCTTTCTCTCTGATATTACACATTCATTTTCGTAAATAACATTCAATCAGTCAAAATATTTTTAAACATCCCCCTTTTTTAAAAAAAAAAAAAATCTACCATTTTAGTAATTTAGCAGTTTTAAGACTTCAAAGCTAAACCTAAAGGGAGCAAGTAATAAATAATCTATCACCAATTTTGCCAAGTTTGAGTGATGACACATAAAGTAAGAATGTCTTTGGTATAAATAATGTGCGTAGTTTTGCCGTAACAACTTAGTTATTCGCTTCATATAGAAACTGGTAAACATTTGAGATAAAAAAATGAAAGGTGTCAACTGTCAAGGTCCTATACTCCTGTTTGGAGGAGGGACTGAGGGAGTATAACCTAAAAAATTCTGGCATGTACAACGTCCTCTGCCGATCTGCCCACCCTCAACTCCTCAGGAATGCTAAACGCCTGCACAGCCACAGCTGCACTCTCATTGTTGATGGCATACATAGCGGACAAAAGAAAATTGGGAAAACTATCAAATAAGTCCCCAACTTTTCAAAAAAATCAATTAAGCCCCCGTACTGAAAATTCGTCCAGTTAAACCCTCGAGCCTATTTAAAAATGTCAAAACTTCTTTTTAACCTTAGGTAATGAATAGGTTACGAGGTTACTTGTACACGTGGCCACACGTGGTTTTTTCAAATTTTCCCCATTTTTCTTTTTTCCCTATTCTCCATGATCTTTCTCCTTCAACCTGCGTTCCACCCTTTTCTCCACGAAACTTCAGCCCACGCCTTTCTCCGTCTTCTTCCAATCCCCACCCACCCTTTCTTCTCCCCCTTTCTTCTTTCTTGTGCCACCAATCGCTCGTCGGCAGGCAATGGAGTCTTAAAGAAACCTAGGTCGCCGGAAATGCTCAAGTACCCCTCACACGCCGGGCATCCCCTTTCCGCGAATTCATCACACCTAGTTGTCCATTGAACCTTGCAACACAAGTCGGTGCTCTATGAAATTTCCAGATCGATTCCAGATCCGTAGCTTCAATTTGGCTATCTTCTAATCGGCGGCAGAGAAGAGGCAGAGGCGTAGGGAGGGGGTGAATTGAGCCTGGGGAACGACTAACAGAGAACTAGGGGAAGAAGAGAATGGGGAATGAAAGAAGAAAGGGCGAAGTTGCAGGGAGAACTAACGCAGGGAAGAAGGAAGCAGGGAAGAAGAAAGAAAAAGAAAAAGAAAAAGAAAAGATGCCACATCACCTGCCACATATGCAATCCAACCAGGAATTGAGATGTTACCTGCTAAAAAGAGAATTTGACATTTTTAATGAGTTGGAGGGTTTGATTGAATGAATTTTCAGTACGAGGACTTGAGTGATTTTTTCGAAAAGTTGAGGGGCTTATTTTGTAGTTTTCCCAACAAAATTCTTTCCACATGAATTTTTAAAAAGAAATACAAAGTTTAATACACCAGTTTGTGTTGTGAAGAATTATAAATAAAATTGCAACAAGGTCCTCATTTTGATGTGTGTGAGATATAAATAAAATTGATAGATACATCGTACATGTTATATATGTTGTTTCGTTAACCACCCTCGTGATATAGCTAGTTTTTTTTTTTTTAAATATCATTCTAACTCTAATATAATATCGGTTCATAATAATGCCAACATCCTTGATTAAGATGAGACACAAACCTGAGACACAAACCTGCGACCACCTCAAGATTACGCAGTGATGCCATCAGACTCCAAGGTATTTGGCAATATAACAGATATTATTGTAAAGTTAGATTTAAGGGAAAGTTCCCGAAATAGGACTAAAACAGTTTGATAATTCCAAAATAGGACTGACATGTTTTTTCATTCCCAAAATAGGAGTAATTACTGTCAAGTTTGGAAAATACTGTCATGTTTGAAGTCTGGTACTGCCAAAACATGACAGTAATTAGTCCTATTTTGGGAATAAAAACATGGCAGTCCTATTTTGGAATTTTCAAACCTTTTTAGTCCTATTTCGGGTAATATCTCTAGATTTAATCTTTAACACTTTAAAAGTCTAATTTTTAAATTTTAATGGATTCATATTGATTCGACCAAAATATCTACAGATAAAATAACATTGGTCCCCCTCCGCCCTGTTAAGATTGTCAAATCTTTCATTTTTTATCTGTTCCACTGAAATGGTCTCATATCAATTTTGATAAAGTTTGTGTGATTTTAAATCACTCTTACTTTATTATTATTTTGTCAATTCAATATCAATCACATAAACTCATTTTTTTAATAATTGCACCACATTCTCTTGTTTAATGTTAGAGGCTAGCACTAATTAGGCATGGACCGGTTACGGGCCGGGCCGGGTTCCGGGTCGGTCCAAACCGGGCCTTTTATTTTTGGGGGGAGGCCGGAACCGGTCCGGGATTCCACTAGGTCCGGGCCGGTCTTGGGCCAGTTCATTTTTTTTCTTTTCTAATTACCCCCCCCCCCCCCCCCCCGCCCCCACACCCCAGACCTTCCCAAAACACCCCAGCCCAACCCGGAAAAAACAAAAAAAATTGAAAAAACAAAATAAAATAAAATAGGCTCTTCTGTTCAATAAGAATGCATGCTAACAAAAATAGAGTACATTACTATGATACATAGTATTCCGTGCGTATTTTCTATGGAAAAACTGGTTGTATACGCCCGCTCCCAATTGTTTATATACAAAGGTAATTAGTTAAAAAAGCGTAGCATGATTAAGACAGTTGTTTAATTATGTACATGAAGAACTTCTCACTTTCTACTCCTAAATTAATATCGAAAATGAGCATTGTGTCATTGTGTCATTTATATTAATCTTGGTAAGGACATCCCCATCCATTAATTTATTTAAATTTTAATGGGATTATGTGTAAGATTATTTTAAAGATCATCATTGTGAGTGAGAGGTATTTAGGGAGTTTATTGAAAAAAAATCTGGTATCAAAATTCAATATTTTAATTTGTAGTTAAATTACATTTAATGCATATTCTAGAAAAAGCTAATTATTTGAGTATCATTGTTGATGAAAAGTTTTAAGCTTTAAAATTATTTAAAATTTGGATAATGCGATATGTCAATGATGTGTAATAGAAAAGCATTTATTTAAAAAGTATAAGTGGAGATGCTTTGAGATACTATCGTATGTTATACGGAGTAATTGATAAAAACTGATAACCAAATGCTCTGAGATATATACTACTCGTAAAAGATAATGAATGAAATTTTAACACTACGGGGGAGAGAAAATATATAAAAAGGCATTAAAAGTTAAAAGCATTATCTTTGATAAAAGTAGTATTAAAATCTCACATGCTTGATTTTTTGTACACGCCTATATTCATTATTAGCAAAGGTACATGGGAATCATGTGATGTGCTCTTTTCACACGTTACATTTGCATATCATCGTATCAAATTATTGTATCTTGATTATCTTCTACCCGATGAGATAAATCATTGCGACATATAATCGGATCCAAATGAGAAAATGTATATGAAGCAAATTAAGTCGAAGGCGGATCTGAGCGAAATTATAACTAAATCCTTCGTAAAATTAACTATTACCTGTCAGATTACTAAGTCATACCCTACCAAAAAAAAAAAAATACTACGTATAGGATTGCCACAAATTTGATATAGATTGATCGATGATTTCGTGCCAAATAATTTGTGTCAAAGTGTGTTAAGACTTCAGATTATATTGTAAATATTGCACGTATTATATTATTTTCCTTTGGCCCATCTTTTGTATTATTTAACCTTGGGCCCATGTTGTTCTTGTATATTAAAACTCCTAATCATACGTAATGAAGGGGGGAATTGTACACCCTATTCTCGGCTCTAGCAAAGTGTTTTTGACATGCACCGGCTTGACATATCTTTGCCAAATTTTTAAAGAATTTTGGCGCCAAAATTTATGTTTTAATATGGAGTATGAAGTTTTAATATTTTTGCATAAATATGTTTATGCGAAATTCATCCTATTTTACGTTTAAAACATTTATTAACATTTAAAAATCCCATTCGAAAGTGATAAAAAATATGAAGCTCTTAAAAAAAGTATTACTGAAAAAAGCTTACTCACTAGGTATGATTAAAGTTGCTAGGATTATAAAGACAATCACTTATAGTTATTGCTTTAATCACTACACGTACTACACGTACATATAGTATGAGTCTGACATTTTGTCCATATTTATTTTAATTATAAATATTATAAATACATATAATATTTTTAATTTCAAACTATTCACATGTTCTATTTTGA